GAAAACAATTAGCAGAAGAAGTGAATCTTTTTCAATGCGAGAGTTCGCATTAACTTGAATTCTATCTACTGCGATTGAATGCAAGGAATGTCTTAAGCTAAGTGAATTCTTTTTTAAACGAAAGTTCGTATTTGTTTTAATTTTACCACTCTGAAAGGAAATTCGAATACTTTTCAATGCGTAAGGGCGAAATAAAATATACTTTACTGTTTGGCAATACCATTTTGTAGACAAATGTTTTTAGTCTAATTAATAATTACAAAGAACAAATGATTCTTTATGATAAGAAAGTAAAAATTCATAAACATTTTATGCCAAAGCATTTACCACTACTATCTCGCATTCAGCGTGATGAAGTTTAATGCGAATCAATACTTTTCAATATTTCTGTTCGGATCAGAAAGCAGAAATTAGAAGTATTAAAAAATATCAATACTTGTTAATTCTTCTCAATCCAACATTTTTTGCAGAGCATTAAACGACAATACATTTACGTCAACCATATAGATTCCACGTGGATACAATATACCTGTTCTTATCGGATAAACGTTCAATAAACAGTCGAATAAAACTCATTATAAATATGAAAACACCTTACATAAACATATATAACAGTATGTCTCACCTTATTCTGGTTGTTTAGTAAAACAATCCTGCATAAAATGTCGGATCGAAAAGAATTAAAAAATATTTATATTTTTTCAATATTTAATTTTGTTTTCTGGCCCCAGCGAAGGAATTAAAAACTTTTGGTTTATATTAAATTTCATTGCACTGAATATGAGACGATAGTGGTGAATGTTTTCATTCAAAATGTTGACAAATTTTAATTTTCTTATATTATAAGGAATCGTTTCTAATTATTAATTAAACTAATAAATATTTGTCTATAAAATTGTGTTGTCAAACAGTGAAGTATATTTAATTTTACATTAAAAAATATCTGAATCTCTTTTCAAAGTGGCAAAATTTTAACGAATACGAACTTTCGCATTAAAAAGAATCCACTTAAATCAAAACGTCCCTCGCATTCAATCGCAATAGATAGAATTCAAATAAATGCGAAAAATGCATTAAAAAAAAAATTTACTTCTGTTACTTGTTTTTGGATGCAGAGGCATACAAGATTTTCACGTTCTATTCCCCGTATCACACTGAAAAATATTGACCCCCGATCCAATCCAAGATTATTACAAAGCAGAATTCATGACAAAATTTCGTAAATACGAAACAATACTTTTGAAATAAGACTTTTTATGCAGTGAAGTAATGTGGGATATTATGACTTGATCAATAAAGTGATATAATTCCTTTTTTTGGACCATTGAGTCACGCTACACGACGAGTATCCGCCGTATCGAAAAGGTTAAAATATTATAGCACGTTCATTATGAATTATTATTCGATACAAGCTATAATGATTTCCGAAGCACATCAGCGTTAATAAACCGAGTGCTGTTTGCAAATATTTTTCAAGACAGTTGCGTCAATAGATGCGTTCAATAGAAGAAGTTGTTTTACAACTATTGTAAAATTCGTGAATCTATTATAATTAGTAGATGCTCTCTGATTCAGCCAAGATTAAGGGATCGTCTACAATAGAGGTCGTAAAATCATTAAGCTGTAATTCAAAAGACTATTGGCCTATACACAGTTCATTATTTTCCATGCGGTTCAGAAAAAAACGATTGTAATTTTTCAAATCACAATCAATTCTCAATTTGTCAATTTCTTAGGATCTACGACTTTACGACTTTACGACTTCTATTGTAAACATAGCCTGAGAACTTCAATCGGATTCACGAATTTTACTACAGTTGCAAAGCAGTTTTCTCTTAACATAACCAATGGCTTTTACGCACTTGTATCTGTACGTATGATACGAAACGTTCCCCGCTCGAGTAGGCGGAGCCTTTTTTAAAGCCCGTCAATATTCGACTGATCGCTTCATGCTCGATACCGAGGTGATGTTAAATTATCTGTGCGTAAAGAATGAAAGGTCTAAACTACTGATGATTAACGATCTGTTTTCTTCTGAATGATTAAAAAGACATTTTTAGAAAGATACGTTTATAGAAAGGGGAGAGAAAAAGAGAGAGAGAGAGAGAGCAAATATTTATTTATTTATTTATTCTTTGCAATTTTATTCAAAAAGAATAAGTAAAAAACATAAAGTGCATTGTTATAAATATTTCAGTTATGTTTATACAAAGTTAACAAGTCATTTTTACTCTATTTGTACTTATAGTGTTAAAGAATGATATTTACGTACACGACACATACATTAACGAAATTATGCTATTATCTGCTTATTATTACGAGGGCAGTTTGATAAGTCAGTGACTTTTTGAATTTTCCGCGCAGTAACTTTAAATGCAGCACTGCTCCCGTCAACTGCCATCTATTAATAGACTACTGTACAAGTTTGGGCAAGCTGCGCCATTTAGTTAGTGTTTGACAGCCATTGAAAGCAGACAACCTCGTGAATTTTAACGAAAATGGAAAAAAGTGAATTTCGTGTGCTGATTAAGCATTATTTTTTGCGTAAAAAAACCATCACCGAAACCAAGGCAAAGCTTGATAAATACTATGGGGACTCTGCACCATCAATTTCAATGGTTAAGAAGTGGTTTACTGAGTTCCGTTGTGGTCGTACCAGCACAAGTGACGCCGAACGTTCAGGTCGCCCAAAAGAGGTCGTCACGCCAGAAATCGTCGATAAAATCCATGGAATGATATTGGATGATCGGAGAATGAAAGTGCGTGAAGTGGCTGAGGCTGTAGGCATCTCAAATGAGCGGGTACATCACATTTTACATGAATATTTGGACATGAAAAAGCTATCCGCGCGATGGGTGCCGCGATTGCTCACACTCGACCATAAGCGCAACCGTGTGACCATTTCAAAGGAGTGTTTGGCGATGTTCAGCCGTAATCCGAACGAGTTTTTGCGCCGTTTCGTTACCGTAGACGAAACATGGATCCATCACACCACACCAGAGACCAAGGAACAATCAAGACAGTGGGTTTCTTCGGGTGAACGTGCACCAAAGAAGGCCAAGGTGGGTCTGTCGGCCAACAAGGTCATGGCCACAGTTTTTTGGGATGCACGCGATATCATTCACATCGATTACCTTGAAAAGGGTAAAACGATCACCGGCGAATATTATTCAGAGCTTTTGGACAGATTCGATATTGATTTAAAGCAAAAACGACCGCATTTGGCGAAGAAAAAAGTGCTGTTCCATCAGGACAATGCACGGGTGCACACGTGTGTAGTCACCATGGCAAAAATCCATAAATTGGGCTACAAACTGCTACCCCATGCAGCATATTCACCAGATTTAGCCCCCTGCGACTATTTCCTGTTTCCAAACCTGAAGAAATGGCTGGGCGGTAAGAGATTTGGGTCATCACTGAAACAAACGCCTATTTTGAGAGCCTTGAGAAAACCTATTATTTGGAAGGAATAAAAAAATTGGAAAAACGGTGGACTAAATGTATCGAGCTAAAAGGAGACTACGTTGAGAAATAAAACGCTTATTTGCCGAAAAAAATATCTTTTATTAAAAAAGTCTGACTTATCAAACTACCCTCGTATATAGCATGTTATGCACTAACTTTACAGTTTAAAACGATGTCTAATAAATTACAAGGAAATTAATATATATTTTATTCGGAAAAGCATGTACTGAACTTTGTACAGCAACGAGAAACGCTAACAACGAGAAGCGCTAACAAATTTACATAATAAGAAAACATAATAATCAAACGAATGTTTAATTTAATTTAGTGATATGTGCTGTGACGATGATATATACTCGACGCCGTTGATACTTTATTATTCCCAACATCAATAGAAATCGATAGTCATTATATATTTTTAATATTTTCTTGCCGGAAGCGTTTCTAGCTGTATCTTTCTTATGATTGTTCATTCATCGAAAAAGCGGGAACGCAGAAAAGCAGAAGTGGCATTTTCAGAGCTTTACATTTCATATAGTTCAATAAAGAGGATTTTTCCTTTAATATATTTTTTTACGCAATTAATAAAAGAATGTTAGGATAGTTAAAAAGAATATTAAAAAAGATAAGTTTAAGGTTAACACACGTTATTTGTTATATTATTATTTTTTTATTTATTATTTTAATAAATAATTCAAACTTGAATTACCAAAGATGCGATAAATAAATGCAACTTATGACTTTGAAAAATCTTGAGTTTACAATACATTGCTAATCGGTTTAGACATAATGAAGTTGGAAGCTCACGAAATTGGCAAAATTGAAAGTCATTACCGAGCAACTTTTGCAATAATAATATTATTAAAAATATAATAAAGAACACTTAATAATAATAATAATAATAATAGTATTGAAAGCAGAATCTCGATCTACAGATTCACATCGCGAGCGATCATCTCGACATTATCGAGTAGCCTGAAAACGAAAGTCAATGTAAACAGTTTTTGTTGCTCGACTCAATAATAGGCGGTATCGACGATTCCTTCTGGATTCCTTCTGAAATCGTCGATGAGGAATCTGAAGGACTGATCGAGAATTGTCTTGACGGTTATATAAGTCACCTTGCGAAAGAAAGTGTGCGCTCTTCTTACTGCTCTTCTTATGAGACTTCTTGCGACTTCTTGCGGGTCGCTTACAATTTCCGCGTAGAACTGGAGCTCGCGAATAACGTCAGTGTACGGCTTTGTAAAAGAACGATTAAATACAAATTTTCAACTTCTCACTCTGAGTACGCGTCGATATACCTCTTCGCTCTTTCCGATATTCCACTACAATATATAATAAAATTACTGAATAAGTCTGTCAGTAGTAATGACTTATAATTTTGACAATGTAGTTAACTCAACTTCATTGTATCTAAATCGTTTTGCAATTCACTGTATGTATATCAGATTCACTTTTCAATATTTAGTGAAAATTCTCATTTGATGATTCAGAATCTCAATAATTCAGAATGATTCAGAATGATTCAGAAAAATCATTCTATATGAGTGGAAAGTTATTAAAAATTATTGCACATAACTGAAAAAAGTTTGAGTGACTCGGTGATGACTTATTTTATTTTTTTTATTTTTTTATTATATTTCACTCAAAGAAATTTTGTGAACGGCGTATCGAAAGGATAAAAGTTGCAGCATATAATAACTCGAAAAATAACTCGTTCATCGACGTCGAAACAATGTCGAATCGCCATCGAAACCGTCAAGTCGACGTCCATTCGATATTGTTTCGATGTCGATCGATGACTTATTTCTCGCTGAGATTAAATGCATTACGTATTCTCTATGTTTTGCGACGATTTCTCGCGTCAATTACCGTCGGCTTTCTGACCCAGCTCGAAAGCTAATGTTTGAACGTTGGGCGCCAGGTACGGCAATCCTGTATAATTCGCGAAATGGGTCGCCAACGCTAAAATTTTCCGCTAATTTCCGAAAAAAAAGAAACCTTCCCGTGATCGATTGTCCACACGGGATCGGTTGCTCTTACATATTTTGAATCGGAGAAGGAATTATCCGAAGGGAGTCGAAGGATTTTGGGCAAAAGATCTGCACGCCAATTTTGAGAGAGCTAACAAGTTTTATTTTGCGCTGGCGGTAGTAATACAAGAGTACAGGAGAAACCGTAATACGAACAATCTCTTTGGTCTCGTTATATTCCTCTAATGTAATATTCGAAATTATTTGCTAAATGGAGACGATTTTCAAGGGCTATATTTATTTACTTCCTATTGCCGCTTCAATTCGTCCGGCGGGACTACCGACTGACACAGCGATGCTCACCTTGAGAGATCTTGACATCATAATAACTGTGAGATTTAATTAATAAAAAGTTTTTATCAAAAAAACTTTTCTATATATAATATTTTTATATGCTAACAATATATTTATATTATTAAAATTATAATGTATATGTAAAATTATAATGTAATTATAATGTAATTATTATGTAAAATTATAATGTATATTATTAAAATTATAATGTATCAATAGATTTCCACATCACCTAAGAGGTACTATTGCCGATACGTTTTTTTTTAAGTGGTATCCCCAATAGGCCTATTCCACTAAAGAAGCAATTAACTTTTAAACTTCATCCTACAATTAAATTTATATTAAATTTTTTAAAATATATTATATTATAAGATATTTTTAATATTAAAATATATAATATTATAAGATATTTTTAATATTAAAATATATAATATTATAATATATTTTATATTATATTTGTTACTGTATTTATAAAATCAATATTCAAAGAAAATGTTCAGTATTCAAAGAAAAATGTTTAATAAATGAAATTTTATTCTCGTTGACACATTCATAAATATAACGCAAAGATCGCAATCACAGTTGAAACAATTGCATAAATCTAAGACTAGCAAATGTTATCACGGAGAAATCTACAGGTAGACCTCCTTAAAAAATTGTAAGTATATATTGACGTTCCTTTTCTTCACCTTTTTAATATCGAGACGTCTTATTGTTTGTACTATTGTACTACGTACTAATTAACGAAAATCATTGTTATATTTTAGTGTTATGTGTCTTATGTGTAACGGCATTCGTTTGTATCCTGTTTTATAATTATGTTGAATACCGTGTGTCAACGTTTAATGCGATTCACTTGTATGCATTTCCTTATAATTTTTCATCATCATTAGTATCTTTTAGGATGTCATTGGTAATAAGAAATTATATATGATTTCTCAATTGCATAGCATGATTGCATTAAAACCTTTTTTTTCCGTGATACATTTGCTAGTCTATGTGATTCATGCAATTATTTCAACTGTGAGTGCGATCTTGTATTACATTGAGAAAACATATTTCTTTTTCTCTTTACTAAAAAGTAATACTTATAGTAGATACATGATTTGCATACTTGTAACACTCTATACATGTATAGAGGTACATTTTAAATGCAACCATGATACCATGTTGTAATATTACTTCGCACAATGACGGATATATAAGACACAAATAATAACAAAATAAAGAAAGAAAATCGTACATTCCCTAGTTTTCGTAATTATGAATACGTTCGCGAAATTTGAACATTTGTGCTTCTTTTGTACAATTTTATACGTTCTATGTTACTTATTTTCTTTATTTTATTAAAACGTATTTTATTTTATTTGATATGTTTGTCCTTTATAAGTTTTCCTTCATAAATCTTTTTATTTATTCGATAAATTTTTTAATTTTCTATTGAATACATTATTTGCTTTTATACTACCGTTATTATATCGTGTGCGGGAATATATCTTAACAGTCATTAAAAATTTTAATGCCTGCATACGATGATTGTAACACTTTTTATGAATGTCAAACCATTCAGCATGCATTTTATTAGTGGCATGTATACCTTCATTTATCATCTTTTCAAGAAGTTGTGTGGATGCCCAGTGATGTTGCCACGAACGATTAAAAGCCATTAACTGTGTTTTAATGATATTTATAAAAAGATTTGTTGGTCGAACTAATTTCGTGACCATCGGCGCATCTTCGTCCGCATTAGGATATTCCCGATATTCGATATATTTTTCATTAGCTGTTACGTCTTTTATTGGTGTTTTTAACATTATTTGACGACAATAGTTACAATCATTTTTTTCAATACATCGTCGTGCTACATATCCTGCAAAGAATGTAATAGCATTTTCATCATAATTACTTATTATATTCATATTTTCAATGTCTACATCATCGTATTTCTCTACAATTTCTGCATGTTTATCGAACAATTCTGTTTCTGAATCAACATCATTATCAACAACAACAGCGTCAGTATTATTAACACTTATGCAATATTCAATCGTTTTCATGAGATGATTCGGCTGATTAATAAGAGCCTCACTTTCAGAACATTGAACGTTGCCCTTATCGCTTGCCAGAATGTAACCCATAGAAAGAATAACAGACAGTCGTACCATTCTTGCGGTTGGATTAGGATTAAATCTTCCGCATTGTCGAAGTTTTGAAAACAAATGTTTCACTGAATCTTGATTACATAAACCTGTTGCAAGTTCAAACTTATCATATTTACGTGAAAGTATCTTATACAAAGTAAGAATAGCTTGTGTTGTAATCACGAAACCTTTGAAGCATGGAACTTGAAATACTTTATTCGGAAATTTTGACCATCCTGAACACCACTGCACAAAATTAGTCAAAAGTATTTCAATATCAGGATTTTTTTGGGATAATGGCCGTTTTCCACCAAATTTAACTTTAATATAAGAATTGCAAGCATCTATTACGTTATTCATATATTCAGCAAAATCAGCCGTAGCTTTCCATGTATTAGAATCTAATTCTTTTTCGTCACCGGCTATTTTAATTGCAGCTGCGAATTTATTACTAAATAATTGAAACGCTCTTTTCACGTTCATTGCTTCAAAACTATTTGGACGAATGTGTGCCTCTGTTATATGGGATAATAAATTTGAGCCTCCTTTTGTAGCATTATCGATACACCACGTCTTAATAAAATCTGAATATGATGCAATTATTTCCCCGTTGCAATATATCTTATCATGTGTTCTAAGGAAACTAGCTAATCTTTTAACTAAGTGCGGGAAGTCGAAGGAAGCATAATAGTTTTTATTTTTATATATAAAAAATGGTGTTTGTACTTCAACACCGAGTTGACTAAACGCAGCTTGATTGTGTACACCTTGATCACATGTCACGAGTTGCACATCAGCACCTGTTTCATTTAATTTGTCTAAACATATCTTCACTAATTCAACTATTTCCTTTGATTTTAAAGCATTTCAACAAGGAAATACGCTAAAGGTTGTCGCCACGGATGATGTGCATTCAAACTATCAAGGCAAAGCACAAATACGCACTTAGCTCTTTCGTTTCTTCTACCTAGAGGTCCTAGATCGACAAGACCTTCTATTTCATCTAATTTTAAAGAATATTCCTCATAACTTTTTATATACATTTCATCCCATTTTAAGGCACACACTCGTTCCTTCTGAGGTATTTGCGATATTTTTTCTTTTAATTTTTTAAATAAAAAATCGCAAAATCCCGGTTTTATATCATACTTTCTAACCATCTTCTAACTATCTTCTAACCATCTTCTAACTGTTCGCTGTCCGGGAAAATTGCAACCTGCTTTCTTTAAGCGACAAAATGCTGACGCTGAATAATAAATAATTGCTTAGAAAGCATTTTTTCTTCCTCTTGTAACGGCCGAACTCCGCGGTTCGGTCGTCGCTACGGCGTTTCGCGCGGATAATGCTCGTCGGAGTCCGGGTTCGAGGAGGAGTAAAGCAGCGAGACACTTGAAAATGGCAATAGAAATAACTTAGCTTTATTCTACGCTTACTGAGATACAAGAGTTCGGTCCCGAAGGCGTTGTCGCGGGCCGCGTCTATTAGGCGCGTCGGTACGGTACGGTGCGGTACGGTGAGCGGTACAAGCGCGCGTACGGACGGATAGGCCGCGCGGAAGGCGGGGCCTATTACGCGACGCGTGTAGACGGTAACGACGGTAACGGCGCGGTGATCGGTCTCGCTTCGCGACGCTGGGCGTCTCGGACAATTATCGCCCAATACTCGTCTCGCAATCGCTCGCGTATAGATGGTCACCGGACCGGAGATTTCGACTCTCGGACGAACGCACGCACGCAAGTCGCGGAATACGCGAAGTGATTTCGTCCGTCGGGGCCGAGGACTCTCGACAGAGAAGGCGTACGCACCTTCCCTTTTCCCTACGTTCGCGGAGGAAAGCGACCAAGTGCTGCGGACACTCAGTGGAGACGGCGGACACACCGTCCCGGGTTCTTGGTCGCTAGACGGATCGCCTAAAGGCTGAGTACGCTCAGCGGAGTTCGCCGACGGACGAACCCCTGACTCAAGGCGGCGGGTAAAGGCGAGAGACTGTCGAGTACGCTCGACTGAGCACGCGCACGCACGAGCCCAGGAAGACGGGAGACGGCCAAGTATCGAGTACGCTCGATCGAGACTGCGGACGCACAATCCCGTTTGCTTAGTCGCCGGTCGGGTAGTCGGAATACGGAAAGCAGAGCGAAACGGTCCGGATATTCTCTCTTTCGGCATACAAGCGTCTAGATCGAATCGGCGGTACGGATCGGTCTGGTGTCTAGAAGCTCGATCGCCGCCGTTTTATAGTTGATCGCGCTACAATTGATACGGCGGCGATCGAGCGGCGCGCCTATCGGCGCGAGGCACGGCGACGGCGCGTGATCGGCCGCGCGGCGCCGCGGCGCGCGATAGCGGCGGCGCGAGATAGCGCGGCGCGATCGTTTCGATAGCTTAAGGTGGCGCAAAGCGCCGTTCTTCGGCCCGACAGGTGGTCGGTCGGGCCGGTAGTAACGAGGTGCATCTGCGCCTCGTTACACTCTGTATATTGTGTGCGCGGAATATGCAGTTGCAAATGTATCATACTTTTTGCAACAGGATTAAGTTTTTGTTTATTTATCAAATTCTTTAATATTTGTTTTTCCGACTTTTGACTTTTACATTTCTCACGCGCTTGTGTCATATATCGCAACTGATAATTTAAACGTTTAATTTTTTTCGTAAATTAAGATTTTCTATTCTTAAAGCCTTGATAATTAAATCTGGATTGTTATCTGGATTTTCTTTACTTTGCATGCATTTTTCCTTACGTTTCACATTCTCACGTGTGTGTGGTTCTGGTTCCAAATGCATCCATTCCATGACATCTTCCTCTTCTGCAGTAATGTCGAAAAGTACAGTTCCAGATCCATATGTTCGTACTGCAGACTGTTGAAGTTCTTCTTTTCTAATATAATATTTTGGTGATTGGGTAAAGATAATTCTACAACGTCCCTTTGTACCTCTCTTATTTCTATATTATCTTTATGTGCAGAAGAGGCATCTTTGTCGTACGGAATTGGTACGGCATCTCTACGCAATTTTATTTTTTGTGGGTTTTTAAAGGACGTCACAACAAAATGATCTTCGCACAATCCCGCAGCTCGAAGGGTATTCGGAGACCATGTCTCCAACTTAGTATTTCCTGTAACAAAAAATAAAAAAACAAGCGATTACGCGTTTATTTCTGACTTCCGTAGCAAGAGATTTGTATATGTATTCCAATAGAATAATTGTGTATTATACAGTAAGCATCATGAAATGAAGAATTTTATGATGGTTGCACTAAGATATTTGGCATCAAGTCATGGTTTCGTCTGAATATAATTTGAAAATAATATTTGTTCTAAATATCATATTACACATTTCCAATTTAGGATTTTTTGTTTTTCTTTGGATATCATTATATCAATTATTTTTATATTTAATAATTAATAATAAAGCATTTAATATTTAATAATGAAATCATAACTGTCAGTTTTTCATACTACAAAGCAACAATCACATTTTTCAATATTTAGAGCATTTTCAGACAAAAAAATTGCAATTGGGAAATTATGAAATAACTTTAATAAAATAAGAAAAAGAATTATAGGTGAATGTTATATAAATATTTCAATAATCTTTGTATTTATTAACGTTTTATTACATTATTTTTAAAAACCAACTTAATTTTTTACTGAAAAATTATAAGCACTGTACAGGGTGTCCCGAAATTAAATGTCAAAACTTCAAAAGCGTGTAGAGGATCGATAAAGTAAGAAAAAAGTCCTTTACAGATTTGCTCGTTTTAACTTCCTTGTGAAGAAAATCACAAAAAAACAAAAAAAGTGTTTATTTAATATTTACACTTATTTTTTTATTAATTTGTTTACACTTATTTATTGCTTTACTTAATAAATAGATTGTTCAAAATGTTGACCTTTTGCAGCAATGCAAACATTGCATCTATTACTGACAGCTTGTATTGCAGCCAAACACTAATCTTATGATATTTGATGCACAGCAGCCACGATTCGATTTCTTAGCTTTGCCCCCCACACAAAGAAATCCATAGATGTTAGATCGAGTAATTGTGATGGCCAAGATATAAAACCTCAACGTTCAATCCATTGTCAAAAAATCTAAAATAAGTTTTATCTGAAATAAAATTTCAGTGAAATCTTACTTCCACTGATGAGAAATAATAAAATATAAATGGAACAAAAGAAAGAGATTTGTGTGCAGTGACACAGTCAGTATTTGCAAACTGCATCAATAACATGAACAATCGTTGTTATTCACTGATTCTTTTAGCGAAATTTTTTGCAGTGCTATATTTAGAGCAAAAGCTTCTATTACAACTATAATGTTTCAATAAAGAATGCACTGATTATATTTTAAAGAGTATCGCGCGGATTGTGAGAATTTTGTGGTACTGAGATTTAGAATGCAACGTTGTTAAAATAATATGTAATATTAGAATGATAATAAGCCGAACAGTTGCAATTACAAGGTATCAAACTTTTTTACCATTTCAAAATTGAAATAGCAAAAAACGGTGAAATATTCCTTTTACTGATACAATAAAAACATTTTTACTGATTCACTTTAAGAGAATACATATACGAATCTGCCTTTCTTTAAAAAAAAGGACGTTAATATATGAAACAGTAAGATCCCTGCGAGGAAT